GGCTGGGGTGGGCGGGGGTCCCGTGGCCCCGGGATGCGGCGCCGCGGCCTCTTCGTCTGCCGCTGAAACTTTCCCCGAGCGCCCAACTCCGGCGCTGGGCTCTTTGCCTCCGTCCCCAGCTGGCGGTTATCGGCTGTGACAGATGCCAAGAGCTCCGTCTTTCCTGCCGAGTCGGTAATCGAGCGGGAAAGGGTATTTTTAGCTCCCGCCACTGAATCCTGGTGTTATTTTTAGCTCTCGGCAGTTCCCACCTAGCAAAAGGGAATGGCAAGTAAGTCCGTATTTAAGAATGAAATTCAGACACGGTACCGGGGATGCTGCTGCCTTGGCATACAGTGTGTGTCTGTGCATGCTGGATGCTGTTCTTCTGATTGATTTTCTTTGAGTTACAGAAATGTCTCCAGTAACAAATTCTATGGTTGGAGCTTCAAATCAAGCGAATACGAAGTTATAAACATTGCAGGATTCAGACAATTCCCTCCCCCACCTTTGTTCGCCTCCTACTTACCGTCTAGGTCTTTGGGGAATGGAAAACATCTAACAGAAAACAGCTTTAGGCACTTAAAAAAAAAAAAAATCTCTAATTTTGACAGGATAGAATCTGTGCTGGTCTATTGAGTAAATCCCTCTTAGTTCATGGATTATTGGTCAGACAGGCAGGAACTTCTTCAGATTCATTCTGCTTTATCATGTCAGACCAGCTGCTGTGCACGTGTACCAAATATGTGCACTCCAAGCCCTATGCATCTTTCATTGAAAAAAATACAGGAGCATGGGAAGAGAGCTGTATTGGTAATGAAAGCAGAATTTCACTCACTGACAACTGAGAAGCTGCTTTTATTTTTTTCCACAATTGGGCTGTCAGGGTCTTCATTACTACTGCACTCAGTTCATTAGTCAGTGGTTTAAAATTCATCTGAGGGGGTGAATTTTGAGCCTGGGCTTTGCTCTGAGCTAGCCTAAGGAAGGTATCTTGGGTTGGACTCTGGCAAGCAGTGGCATGCTTATCTTTCTAAGGTTAATTCAGGTAATTCAAGTGGATTGTCTGCTTCAGTTTCATTCTGCCATAGTGGAGTGCCACACACGAGATCAAAATGAAGAGTAACAGATTTTAATTTTTTCCTCCCTACAGTTGCCAATGAGGTAAATCCTGAAAGCTGTAGTATCTTCCTGCTTTCATTGGCAGAAATTTCATTGACGGGAGCCGGCAGGGTAGCACGTGCAATAGCGTGTAATTGAGAGGAGACTCCAACTCCACAAGTCCCAGTGAGCACTTGACTACCCTTGTTCCCTGGACGATTTGTAGGTGGAGGGAGAAAGGGTTGAGACAGGCATGTTACTTGGGTTATTCTAGGGGAATGGGTGATATTCTCCTCCTCCTCCTCCCGAATTAATAAATCTGTGCTTTAGCACTTCTGTGGGTAGTTTGCAATATGGACAAGTCTGGTAAAGTCTGAAATAAACGTGGTGTCTGTTTTCTGGAGACAAAACTGAATCCTTGGTTCTATGTATGTGCATACTCTCTGCTGTAGATACCGTGTAATCCCTCCTGAATCTCAACACGTGCTCACTTGCTCACTCTTACTGCATTTCTTGTTCTTGCCTTTTCTGTCATAGTGACTGTTAAGAACTGCAATAAACTGGCAACAGCTAGGCGAATAGAGCATTCTTCTGAACATAAGTTGTTTGAGACTGGAACATGAACTAGATACTGCTTGACTCTCTGAAATTAAGGATTAATTAAAACAAATAGACACTTGGTGCAATGTGCTAAATAGTTTCTAGTCTTGGTTTAGGAGAAAAATAGGAGCAACCTTTTAAAGTTCTTAAGTTTGAGTTTGTTGGGTTTTTTTTCTTTAAAATATGGGGGAGAGGGGTTAGTAAATGGATTTAAAGGACTCTTTGGAAATAACACGAGTTTTAAAAAGGTGTTCTAAGTGTTTGCATAACTTTATTTATGTGAGCACCACTATTAAATTGGGCCTTCAGTTAGGAAGGGGTTACTCAGACAAATAAATTTGTAACAGGGAATAAGTATTTAGAAGACCCTGGCCTATAATTTGTAAGTTTGAAGACTAAAGTCTCCCAAGTCTTGTTTATCCTAATGCAGATTATTCAGGAAGAGACATTAACAATAATCTGATTTATACATACCTTTATACAACTAATTTGTAACTTGGTAATGCCAAAGGCAGTTATGAGTTTTTACAGAAATGTAATAAGAAAGAAACTTCTACTTTTGCAACAACTTATATTAAGTCTTGCTGGCACATTAATTGAGGAAAAAGGACACAGGATGAAAATTCCACTGGAAAAAGGTCAGGGAGGAACAGAAGATGCCTCCTGAAGAAAATGTATCTCACTGAAGATTTTCTTCCCTCTTTGCAAGAGAGGACTAACAGAAATAAGGAGTATATAACTCTTTCACAAAAAGGTGGATTTGGTGGGGGAAAACATCTTGCATCTCTGTCCTACTCCCTATTATATACATATCTATTGGAAGATACTACAAATTGAACCTGTGGACTTACGATTTAAAAAGTGCATTGGGGAATAGTAGGAAGGCCTAGAAAAACCTTCTCAACAAGTGGTGTAACCTTCCTGACAGTCAGAAGGTTAGTAAAAGACACTGATCAAAGCAGAGGAGTCAGTAACTCAAAGAAGTTGGTCTCAGCAAGCGAGGAGTGTCTGATACCACAGACTCCTTCATAGGCACAAGCATGGCTTCAATAGATGCTCTTCTAGACACAGAAGCTGATGATGCAACTGGTAGGATCCTCTTTTATTTAATGTACTTGACTTGTAATAAGTTTAATAGTTCTGGTCTGTTATTTCTTTTATGGTGGCTTGTAATCCAAGAGTTGCCTGACACCAATTCAGTCCTGATGGGAATAGCTGCAATTTAAAGCTGACCTACACAAAGACTGAATTTGGTTTATGATATCTGTAATCTTTTAACTTTGAAACAAAGTTCAAGGGAAACATTCAAGGCATAAGGATTTTAATGACCATATCTCAGTAGCATATTCATGCAGCTTGAACCTTAAACTGTTGTGCTTTCTTTAATAACTAGTTTTTAAAAAGAATGAGAACAGATTGTTTCAGAAAGAAGTTTTGTGTAAATCCTTGTCTCATTTACCATTATAAATATTCATAGATCATTCAGCAGATCCACCCTGGGAAGATGCAATTACTACCCATAGGGAAGGTGTATTAAAAAACTCTTGGTACTTTTAACAAGTGGAATTTTTATTTGAAACTGTCAACATCAAATCAGAGCATCTCAGAAAACCGAGGAGCTCGTTTAAGTGATTTGTGTAATAGTCCACTCAAATGTGGTGATTGCTGGTATCCTTATGCCTTTGTTGTTACCCACACCAAGAAAAACAATGCATCAAGAACAAGGTGAGGGAGCAGTTCTAAGTCTTGGACTGTGGAGATTAGTTTTCTGGTAGTGACATTAAAATGTCAACACACACCCGTTCTTTTTGGTGACAGGCGGATTTGGGTACTCAGTGATTGCAGGGCTGGACCATTCTTAAGGTCAATGAAGAAAGTTTTCTTGAATGGTATTACACCTCTTGCTCTTCTTTCTCTTCCTTTTGAAACTGTTCTCTTGGCCTGGCGGGTTGCTTTTTTTCTGGGTTCTTCGTGTGCTGAGGTCCAGAGGTTCCCTGGCTACCCCCTCCAACAGAGTCCAGTGTGAGAAGGGAGGCCCAGCAGTCTCACCCTCACTCCTGTGTGCTAACACTGTCCTGTCTGCTAACTCTTGGCCTGGGTTGGGAGAACCCAGGGACTGGTGCCCAAGCTGGTGACTAGCACCTACCAAACCAGGGCAGAAAGCTGCATTCACCTGCTTCTCGCTGATCTCTGTTCTGTGATAGGTGTATTTGGGTTTTTGTACTTTTTTCTAGTTTTCCACTTCCTTGGCCCAAATGTTTTGTTGCCAAAACTTTGTTAGTAGTGAAGAAGGCATAGAGGAAGTTTGACATTGCTGAGGCCCCAGGGCAACAAGATACAGCTAATTTCACTGGGACTGCACACATGCTTAAACTTACCTATGTGTGGTAACTGCTTTTCTGAATGAGATGGCAATGACAAAGGGAAAAAGCCCCCATGTTCTGTGCTCAATCTGCCTCACCTGCTTTAGATCCCAAGAGTTCTGTGAAGACAGCTCTGTGAGTGCTCAAAAGAATACAATGAACTCAAGGGTAATCTTGAGTAAGGGTAATCTCTCTAAAATCTCTTAAGATCAGTAAAGTCACTCTTGAAAGAACTAAGTAACACAGCTACTTATTTTTTATTTTTTTCCCCCATTCTTTGCTGAATAGTACAGCTGTTCCAGAATTAGGGTTGGGAATCTATCAGTGAGAATTTAATTTTGGAGGCTTTTAAAACTGGCCCTTGGTTTTGATTTAAGCAGTGTAGGAATCTAGTTGTAGAGTGCTCCTCTCTTACTGCATTTTCTAGAATAAAAATTTTTAAATAAGGATGGAGCTGTCTTTTGATATCCAGATTGGAGATATCATCAGCCTTTTCAGAAAAATACTGTTCTTGATGATGTTTTGTTTTTTAGTTTTAAAATTATAATATTAAATGCTCTAGTAAAGATTGTTTTATCTAATGAATGAAACTCCTCTTATGAATTGAGACTAATGAAATCATTCTTTTTGTCACAGGTGAACCGTGGACTTCATTTTGTGCCCTGAGAGACTATGGGTAGTCCGACAAAGACTTGACTCAAGGAAGAGAACTTAGAAGATCAAGTTATAGCACAAATTCAGGGCTCTGATAAAAACTGAGATGTTGATGGCAATGAACATTATTTCAGAAATTAATAACTTCCAGTATTAAATGGTAAGCTGTTTGGGAGAAGGGAAAATATCTAGAGGAGATGCTGAATTTTGCCAATTGTTGAACAGAACTGAGCATAAAAATACAGTTTCAATAAAGTTGTTCCTCAGACTGGTTTTGATTGAATAATTTACTGAATCAAAGGTTTGTTTCAAAGACTTGTTTAAATGATGCTGTGCTGTTAGTGACCCAAAAGAGGTGAGTATTTCAAATAATTAATAATTTATCTTACTAATGTGTCTGTCAAGCTCAGCTATTTATTCTTTTTGCAAGATTCTGCATTTTAAAGTTTTTAGAGACATTGCTTTTTCTAGTTATCTGCTGCCAGTTGGTAGTGACACTCATATGCTCTATTTGCTGTCTCTTTTAAGTCATTTTTTTGGGTGTTTTCCCCTTTCTCATATAGTTTTTTTTTCATCTTTAATTTTGTCATTAGCAATATCCAATTTGCTTTTGCTCTTATCTCTTTCCTACTTCTTTTCACGCCATCCACTTTTCTTTTATAACATAGATACTTCATGTCTTTCCAGCAGTCAGACATGGTCAGCAAGTCTAGGTTAGTGACAGAAAATGCTGCCAAGAGTAGGCATCCAGTGCTGGGGTGGCAATGTCCATTCTGTTTCCCTGGTGAGGCTTGCTTTCCTAGGGCAGTAGAAACTTTGCAGTGTCAATTCAATGCTATGCATCACAGTTTAGTTTTGCAAGGTCAGTAAGGACTTGTCCCCCTTGGTGTTGGCAGTTTTTCTTCTAGTCACATCTCTGAGCTGTCTTAAATACCACAATTCCACTCCTGAGAAACAATTACAGACCTTTGTTTCAGGAAGACAGGTGTTACTAGGAATTCCTCAGGATAACAGAACACAAACTGTTAACAAAGCAAAAAATGTTTGCTTACTGAATGAACAAGTTAACATGTTTATTACATCTAATATGCATAGTTAAGTAATGCTTGGGACTATAATACAAATACTGCTACTAAACAAATCCAGAGTTCTTTCCAAATGTAGCCCTCCTGAAGTCACTGGTGGGGTAACCAAGGTTTCTGCCTTAAATGATAGAAAAAACTGTAACTTCTTCCTTTGTTTTTTAAGAATGGATAAAGTATGCAAATGAACATCACTTAAATTTGGATGACAAGCATGCTGCAAGTTTCTTAATATTTTCTTTTTTTTTTTTTTCCCGAACAGCAACTGAAAGTAATCAGCAAAGGTATTTACAGCATTTAGATAGTGACTTCTATAGCTTCTAAGTAGCTTTGTGGTAATAACTGACCAGTATGTGTAAAAAGTTTCATGTTCTATACTTTTTTTTTTTTTCTTTTAATGAAGAGGCAGACTTCTTGAAATAAAAATTTTCAGCTTATTCTATTAATTTTATAAGTTTCCTAATACAGTGCCAGGCTGTATAGATGGATATGCTTTTTTGAAGACCAGCTATTAGACTACTGGTCTTCTTAAAAATTCAGGTCTTGATTATATCAGAGTATATATATATATAAAGCTCATCTGTGCTTGAGTTGGGGACTTAAATTTGGTTGTTTGGGTTTTGGCCTGGGTGGTGGGTTGGGTTTTCCTGGTGGGGGAGGACTCATCTTTTCCATTGCTGGAATTCCAAAAAAGTCCTTCAATGCTTCATTTGGACTCTACCCTCTCCTAAGAACCCCTGCTCTCTAAAATGAGAGAAGATAGAAGCAGTTGATTTTAAACACTTCTATGTGTGATCAAGCACTAAAATTCTTTAGGCAAACACAGACTAAGCAGCTGGAAGGGTTTCAGATTAATTATTTTTTTCAGTTAACACCTTTAAACTGACTGTTCAGCTACCTTTGTTGTGTAAGTTGAACTGGATATGTACTTTTTTCATTTAGGTTTACAGAAACCCCATTCAACCTGATGTGTACATGATATTCTACATCTGGTGCTGAAATATAAGGTCTATTTATATCATATTACCATGGGGTTGGTTGGTTGTTTGTTTGGGGCTTGTTTTTGGCTGCAGATGCAAGGTTAGCAAAACTGATTTATCATCAGGGAGAGGTTACCAACAGAGGTAGTTTGCCCCTGTGCTGACAGAGGTCAGCTCCATGCCTGGTATTGAGGTCAATGTGATTTCTTCTGTTTCAGCTGTACCAAGTATAATCCTATTGAGGTTATGGTGCAGCTGCCAGAACTTTGTTACTTGGCTAGACAACATGACCAACTCTGTGGAGATGACCCGAAGTGGTGGATGGGCATGAGTACAGGGATCAGCTTTGAAAATTGATATCAAATCACACCATGCAGAAGTTTCACAAATCTTTGCATTCTGGGAAAAAATTACAAATATTCTTTTTCCCAGTAGTGACTACAGGTTTCATTTTATGTTTCCATTTTCCAGAATGACTGATGAACATTTTTTGATTCCTTAGTCTACCTTGATTTTTAAGGGCACATTCATCTCCCTGTCTGTATCTGGGAGACAAAAGTATTTTCATTTTCACAGGTGAAATAGTCCAGTACAGCTAGGGTTTGACATTTTTTGTAAAGAATACTTTGAAAATATGGGAGTTGCATATTATGAAGAATCAAAGGTTGCATAAATGCAAATTAATCACTTACTTCAGTTGCATTTTTGTTTCATTTTGGATGAAGAATTAATGGTCTTTAAATAAAAAAGTTTATCTATTTTACATTAATACGCCCTGTCTTAATTACAGTAATGATTAAAAAAACCCATTAAAGACGTCTCCATATTATCTCTGACAGTGTAATGCTGAGGCTTGCCTTCTGTCATTTGGGCATTGCAGTGTGCTGCAACTAACATGCAGGTTCACATAATTTTATTTTACTTCTTAAAACCTAGGTTCTTCCACACATTCCCATTATCCATTATTACATCTCTGAACCTTCCCTGAATCTCTGTCACTGAATTAGCTCTCACTTAGAACACAGGGTTCAATGGGACCTTTTTGATCATCAAATACAACTTTCAGATGTTGTAGGAGTTCATGGAAATCCTTTTGAAATCCCCAGCTGAAGAAGAGTGTTGATACATTGGAAGGTGGCTCAGTGAGGTTGTAGATGCTGCATTCCTTGAAGTGTTCAAAGCCAGGCTGGATGATGCTTTGAGCAACCTGGTGTAGTGTAAAGTGTCCCCACCCATAGCAGGGGGTTGGAACTAGATGATCTTTAAGGTTGCTTCCAACCCATTCTATGATTCTCATAATGCCTAAATTCTCATTTGTCTAAATGTATTTTCTGTCAGTTTATATGCTTTTGCTGTTGTACCAATATTACATAGCATTGCTACTCCTGTAATAAGAATAAAAGTATCACCTCTTGACTTTGCTAGTCAAAGAAAGGTTGATATAAAATTCTGTTAGTCTTTTACAAAATAACCTTTCCCCTTTGCAAGAGAGTACCACCTCCAGGAGTATGCCTGATCTCTGGAAATAACTTCCCTAAAAGTGAAATCCTGGTTTTACTGAAATCAATAGCAAATCTCTTACCAAGGTCAGTGCCTGTCTTGCTTCACGTTTTATGTCTGCAATACTTGCCAGTGAGTAAGAAGGCTACTATACTGCTCATAGCCTTAAACCCAAAGTGTGGTAAGCAGAGGGATCTCCCAGAACTCTGGATTGGAATAGGATTTTTATTGGTTCACTGATAGTGTTGTAATAAAGTTGAATATAGGTAAGGGCCTGACCTGTATTTCCTGGGGTGAGTGCATTATAGGAAGCTACTTACAATTTCATGTATAGTAGGTATGCAAGCTATTAAGTCTGAAAATTGATTCTTCGAGAATACACTTGGGAATAAAGAAAATACAAGAGACCACCCATGATTACTACTGCAGTAGTGTCCTTTGTAGAGTTACAAACTGAAATTGTCACTTAGGTCAAGGACTGGTTGTCCTTGTACTAGCATTGACTGGTCACACAAGTATACTCTTGATATATTTATCCTCTTCTACTTTCTAGGAACTCATTATTCCTTATTGTGTTCATTAATCAGAGTAAATTGGGGTTTTGCTGCTGTAGCCTCACTGTGCAGATGAGTGGTTCTGTTGTGAATTACATCATTATATATATGTATAATATTCCTTTGGAAATTTCTCAGTCTGGCTGTCTGTGACCACTAATTTTTCAGTTCTCTTTTGTTGTTTTTTTTTTTGTTGTTGTTGTTTGTTTTCCCCCCCTTGTCTGAAGAACTGTACTGTTGAGAATCTCTGCAGTGCTTATAAACCCATCTTACTCTCCGTTCCTGATGAGGTAACACATTCCAACACCTGTCGCTAAGGATTTTCATAGCATTGGCTCTGTCTTGTCTTGGGTATGTACAGAACCACATTTGTATTAAAGCATATGTAAATACTACTGGCTTTTACTGTGTTGCAGAAGTTACTCAAATCAAAGGTTGCTTAATTTTGTGTAGTTTGGGTTCATGAATTTACAGATACATCCAGAAATATCTCCTAATTTGGTGGTTTTTGCAGAAAGGAGCTTTTCATTTAACGTTGATTTTTTTTCCCTACTCCAACATCTGCTGGCACATTGTAACTCATACTTTTGTGTATTGCTTGTGGATATACACACTCCAGAAATTACAGTCTCTCATACACAGGAGAACAATATTCAGCATTCCTGAGGGGAGGGAGGACAGTAAGCTTTTCCTCTACCTAGACACAGGTGCTGGCTTTAGTTCTTAGGATGCATCAGAAGAATTTCTGTGTTTTTGTAGTTCATGGTTATTGAGACAGCTACCACAGGAATTTTTGTATTGATGAGTGTCATGTGCACATAATCTTCATTGGCCAAGCTCATTCTAACTGTTCTGGATGCAAACTTTCAGGACCACAGAGTTAACAAAGTAATCCTCATCAAGCTCAGTAGAAGAGCTTTTCATCTTCTCTGTGTACTGGTAAGTATGGGGAAGACAGTAATTTGTGTCTTAGCATATATATCTAATGTCAAGCTCAAAATGCAGTCAGATTTTCTTACTCTTGCAGCAAAGGTTTTTGAAGAATTTTTTGGCAAATAATCTGTTTTTTTGTATTTTCACTTACAAATTTGTGTACATAATGTTGTTTTTTGCAGATCTTCTGATTCCTTTTTCTCTTGCCCATCCAGTGCATCCCA